ACCCTTCAACCCTGAACCCAGCAAAAGATCTTACCACAGTCTTTATAGAAATACCTTCCTCAACTTCTTTATACCTACAAAGTCTGTCCATAATGGTCTATCCATACATGTTTTCCTTTATCATAGAGGAAAAACTAACTCTTCTGTCATTTAATGCTTAGCTTTCTACTTGTGCTGCACATCTGTTTCTTCCAGACTTTGGGATTTATAGACCATTAATATTTCTAACGGTTTAGGGACTGACATAGGGCTGCTAGCTTTTCAATCTTGACAAATGGTAGTATTCACTTTTACAGTCCTCCCATCTCTTATCACCATGATTTCCTAGAAGAAATGCATTTGCAACACCAAAAAAACTAAATTTTATAAACTACTCTATTTGTTTATTTGTATTTCCCTGTGAACAGTGAAGCCATCACAGCCCTAATACATTTGAGACTCTGCTCTGGAACAGATTCCCCCTATCTCCTCAGGGCCCGCTCCATGGGTTATTCTGTCGTCAATATTTTCAGTCTTTTCTTTACTGGAGATTAATTCATCTCTCTTCTCTCCAAATCTAAAAATAGTTTACATTTCAAGACTGCTTCCTCATTTCACTTTCTATTCACTTTTCAAAAAGATAATAAGCATTCATTTTAACCATTCAAGCAACACAAGAGTATATAAAATATATTCAGGGGTATATAAAGAAAACTAAAGTTTTCTGCTCCCTGTCTGAATCCTAGATAAAACCAATGCCAAAGATGGACGTTTCTCTCCATACTTTTTCCAATTATTAAAGGAACACATAGAGATTTTGATTTTCACAAATAATGAATTGTACTACATATATTTTTCTGCGACTTTCTTTTTCTTACTCAACAGTTTATCATGGATACTCTTACCGAGCTCCTCCTTTTAACTAGCTGCACAATATTATATAGTATTACTGTGCCTAATTTTTAAGCCATTCCTTTATTGATTAACAATTCAGATTTGTTCAGATTTTGTGACATTATAAACGATGCTGGAATAAGTATTCTTCTACATGTACCTTTTTTAAATTGTACAATTTTTTCCCCTATAGTGAGGTTTCTG